GCAGAAGCTGACACAGTGCTCTTGTCCTCCAACTCCACTGATCTATAGATTCTCTCCCAGGCTTCTCTGTGTGCTCCCTTCTGAGCCCTAGGCAGAATTTGGGCCATCTACATACCCAATGAATAAGTGCTTATTGAAAGTGTGAATAAATGAGAGGAAGTGGGGATGGAACACAGAAGCACCAGAGGGTCTGGCCTCTAGCTCTGTGGACCTATTCACAGAGAACTCTGTGGACCTATTTGCACCGACTACTGGCCTGTTTGTCCCACATCCTCACAAATAAATTATTCATAGGCACTGGGGGTTGGGGGGAGCAAACAGAAGAGTGGTGCCTTTGTAGGGGTCACCAACAAGCCAGCAACAACACCTGCTTCTGTCCTCATCCAGGAGGGAAGAGAGAGTGGGGTTGTAAACAGAGAGACACCCAAGCCTTTTGAATCACCAGGATATAAGCCCTGCTACCAGGTGGCAGCTCTTTGTGTCTGAGACTAGGAGGAAGTGCCTTTATTGACCTGGCAAGCACCCACTTCCCCCTTCTCAGCCCTGAACAAGTCCTCCTGAGGCCACCTGGCTGAGCTGCCCCCAGGGCTACTTGGAAAGAGCTAGTCATGGTGGGCTAACTACAAAAAGTGGCTTTCAAATGTGTTTCCTTTCATCAAGAAGGTGCTACTAGTAAATGGGAAAATAATCTTTCAAATTTATGGACATGGCAAGAGTAAATCAGTAACTCTAATCCCAAGTGCTCACACTAGACCCTCATCAATGGAAGATGGAGTAGAAAACTAACCAAACTCACTTCTATCAAGTTGATTCTGATACTTACGGGACCCTATAGGGCAGAATGCCCCTTTGGGTTTCTGAGGCTATACATGCTTATAAGGGCAGAGATTGTTATTGTTCTCATGCAGATTAGCTGGTGGGTTTGAACTACTGATCTTGCAATTATCAGTCCAAAGTTTAATTCACTACACCACCAGGTTTCGCAAATGGAATAAAAGCAATGTTAAAAAGCTGCAGTGGAGTTGAGAACTGGGGGAAAGACATTCTTCCTGAAGATATGAGCATTCAAAAGAAAAGAGTGGTTTCAACCCCAATGCAGAGTGTTCTCCTTGTGAACAACAACAGGATATTGAATGGATTATGATGGAACAAGTTTGCCTGATGCGGTGTAATGAATTATCTATATGGCTGTTCTAGCCACAGTCTCTGTAACTCGCACAAAACAACCTTTTCCTGATGCATCTGGGTAAGAGAAAATGGGGCAAGATACAGATGGGATTCATTGTGATTGCCATCCTGTTGGTTATCAAATGGGCCATGGTAGAAGTAGAAGGGGAGGATTTCACTGCCAAGAAGAAACCTGGATGGAGCGCATCCTCTTGACCCTGAAATCCTTGAACAGTTAGCCTCCTTGATCTGTAAGATAGCTTTGCCACCAGAGGAGTGACAGAGGAGCAGCAGCAGGAGAACCAGGAACCAGATCAAGAGATAAAGCAGTGGATGTTCCAGCCCGGAGCAAGTAAAGAAAGTGCTTTGGGGCAGGAGGCTGGCTTGTGGACTGGGGTGCTCTGAGCACTTATTTCGGGGATCAGGTTTGCTGATGGAGTGCCTTTAGAATGATGCATGCAGTGGAATGGAATGCCCTTTGGGCATTCTCTAGCAGTCCTAAAAGACCTTTGTAACTTGTCCTGACTGAACAACTGTATCCTGAGCATTTCTCACTTGAACTGCATACCTGAATGGTAAGCTATTAATTCTTCAGTAAAACCCATGATCCTGAGCATTCTCGGTGAGTTCGGTGTGGACAGTGCAATGAATTACAGAACCAGAAGAAAAGTAGTGTGTGCTGTGAGAGCTAGAACGGTAAAAAGGAGAAAGTGCTATGAGAGACAGAACATGCATGCAGGTGTGCTCACGAAGAAGGGAAAGAAATCAAAACGGAGAAATTACATACACATATATAACTGCATATGCAACATGACCTTAACTTTATAAAAACACAAGTGCCCCCCGCCAAAAAACACAACAAAAACAAACAAAAAAAGGAAATAGTTAAGCTAATATTTTAACAATGGTTCTCTCTGGTGCTAGAGTTTGATAATACTTTTCTAAAAAAGCCAGGTCCACATAAGGAGTTTGCAACAGCTTGGAAGGTAGGATCAGCCCAGGACTGATGCTCTGGCTCTGAATCTGTCCTAACGAGCTAAATGATCCCTTAGGAACTAACATTCTCTCTGGGTTTGGTGCCTCAGCTTCCTGCTGAGGTCACTGGCAAGTGCAAGTGGTCACAAGATGGAGGTCCATAAGTTACATACACATTTCCACCCACAGACATATTTTGATTAGAATGAATCATGCTCTTTTTAAAAACTCATTGCCAACGATTTTAAGTGGATTCTTAATTCCAACATTTTCTTAAAATATTAGATTAATAATAGTAAAAAAATACAAATGTTTATAAATTAATGGATGAACCAACAATGGAATATTAACTCACCTATAAAGAGAAATAAAGCATTAATATATGTTAACACATGGATGAACGATGCTAAAACATGTTGCCAAGTGAACAAGGCAAACACAGAGTCACATATGATTCCTATTTTATGAAATGTCTAGAACTGGCAAATGAGATAAAAAGTAAATTAATGGTTGCCATGGGCTAGGGGCTGGAATGAAGAGTAACTGTGAAGAGTGACTGCTAGATAGGCATAAGGTTTCCCTTTGGCAAGAAGAAAAATTATGGAATTAGATAGTGATGATGGTTACAAAACACTGAATGTATCAAATTACATACTTTCAAATGGTTAAATTGGTAAATTTCTAGTATGTGAATTTTATCTCAATTTTTAAAAACTGGTAATGCAGTCCCACATGGGCCAGCATTCCCAGGTGATGCCTGGGTGCCCCAGATACCAGATGTCTCACTGCCAGTGTCCCCATCATATCCTTTCCTACACAGCAGCCTGGGCCTGGCCCCTTGTTGATTGTGTCTACAGGTCTTGGAAATACCCACAATGTTGTTAGACTTGTGATGATTAGAGGACACTGGACCCCTGATCCACCACTGTGATTCTGCCGAAGGAAAACTTCTGCAGCTCCTCTGTGCAGAAGCCACTGCCCAGTCAGATCCCCAGATCAGTCCTGGATATTCAGTCTAAGCATTGTTCCACCAGCCAAAAGTATATGCCAACTTGCTCATTTCTAATAGAATATGTCTGTCTTTCCTGAGAAGGTATCATATACATGGGCAAGTCAAATAGCTAAAATAATAATACAGGAAATGAAAAATCTCTCAACTACCATCCAGATTCCAAGTGTCTCTCCAGCTCAGCACAATTTATTAAACTTACCTGGTATGACCATTTTCTTTTCTCAACACTGGGAAAGAAACAAAAAACACTCACTTGCTTACTGATCCACTCTAAAATATTTGAAACGGATTGAAAAAAATCTCTCCATCTTAAAGAACATCCTATCCATAACTTAAGGTATCCATCATACCATAAAAGTAGATTCAAGTTGAAAAGTAAAACCAGAAGCTACTGCATCCAGGAGCCCACCCCTTGCTATACCCTCCCCAAGCACTCCAGCACCACTCATCCCCCAGCACTGCCTGCTCCCTCCCCTCAATATGATCTATACCTACTGTAGGTAGGCACATGGCGGCAACCCTTTATTCCCCCAGTACAGTGGGGATGCCACCCAGCAGCTACCTTCATGTCTTCTCATGGTTCTTCTCACAAAGCACCTATGAGCAGCCCTGCTAATGAAAACTGGGATATTCAGCCTGGGATTTGTCCCGAAAGGCCCAAGGAACTCTGGCTGTATCAATGGGGCCAATACCATTGCCAAAGGGCATCCAGGACTACAGGGCCAGGTCCCAACTTCTTCCCAAGCTGTATACATGGATGGGCTTGGGCTCCCCTTGTCCCCTCACACTGGGCAGTGCCCTGTGCCCACCACAACTAGAGTTCTATGCTCTGGTGACTTCAGTTCTCTGTTAGAAACACGCTCGCTTCTCCTATAATTCCTTGAAGATTCCCCTCAAGAAGTTTGTCCTGCATCTGCTGATGTGCTGAACCAGCATGTGATCGAATGTAGCCAGTATGCCAGAACAGACCATGGTCTGAGGGCACAAGCCTTTTTCTGCATATTTCCTGTCTGTCTTTGAGTCCTTGTATAGGAAGACAGGACCTGGCATTTGGCACACCTTAGCAAATATCCAGGGGACCAAGCTTAATATAAAAGATAGTTTCAGTTTGGGAAAACAGGCACAGAATGCACAATTCAAAGTTCTCAGTCAGAAAGCCCACAGAGAAAATGGGGAACTCAAAAGTAATGGGCCAGGGTCATCATAGGCCTATGAGGCCTGGGCCCTCTGTCTACTAATGAAGACACTCACAGGTTAAGGCTATCATCACAGATCAGCTGGTCATGTCATAGTCATGTTTCAAATCGGAGACAAGTTCTCTGAAATTTCTATCAAACAGAGTTTTAGAATACCCACGTATGCTACTAGGCTGCTTTAAACAATAGGAATTACAGTAATGTATGTATCTCAGGATTTATCGCGAATCATTAGCAGTATTGCTAAGCACATCCTACTTTCCAGCCTGTTACAGTAATTTGACATATGTTTCCTGCCATAGCTCCTTAGACTGGGGTGCTGAAAATACTTAGAAGGCTAAGAGAGTTGAAACATGGCTGGGGAAAGGGACAAGTCTTCTCTGCTGCACACAGGAAACAGAGAGGAAGAATTCCCTTTACCAAAGCAGAACCATCTGACACAGAAAGAGATGGAGTGCTGTGCACAGTTCCCAAAAAAGAAGGGCTCACTCTGTTGACAATACTGCATATGCCTGGAGAGCACTCAGAATTCATCACAATTAACCCAACAAGGACCCCACTTCAGCCTAATGAAAAAGAAAAAAGAGCTCTTCATGCTACTCCTCACCAAGCCAGCAGGCAGCCTCAGAGGAAAAACCAAGGGTTCTTACCGAATGATGGCCAGGGGTCCGAGGTGCTTGCTGAGATCGCTGGCCCACCCCAAGGGTTGGTCTGGCTAGCTGTGGGTACCAAGCCCCAAGCCTCTGCTTTCTGGCTCATAGGGACCGAATTGGGGAGAGCATCCATTAACTCCAACAGAGTAGTCTGCTGTGGGTGGGAACTGTACTTCTGAGACAAAAAGAAGATAGATTTTTTTATTGCTTCCAAACACAAACCCATTGCCATCAAGTCGATTCAGGTATACAGAGACCTTGAAGGACAGAGTAGGACTGCCCCATAGGGTTTCCAAAGGTATAATCTTTATGGCAGCAGACTGGCACCATCTTTCTCCCCAGGAGTGTCTAGTGGGTTTGAAATGATGACCATACAGTTAGCTAGCTGTTGAGCACTTAACCACTATGCCATCAGGGTTCACTTAGATTATTACAATCACAACAAAGCTCCATATGTTTGTCTTAACTATTCACCAAGCCCCTTAACTACAGGAAGAGGACCCCAACTCCATATCGCATGTGGAACTGGCTCATTACGTATCTCTTGGTTAATGGATAGACTGTGAACCCAAATAACCAGGTCCACTGTTTGTGATTACCTGCTGAGGTGGGTGGGGGTTGGAGCATTGTGAACCCAAGTGACCAGGCCCACTGCCCATTCCCATCTATCTTAGGGAGTGTGAGATGTAGAATTGATCAGGGGTTGGGGAGGGGGCAGGGGAAAAGCAAGGATGTAATACAAAGGGGCAAGTCATAGTACTCAGACATGTTTTCAGCTATATCCTCACCTTATTCTTGCTACCGTAGACACCAGGGCATTTTTTAATGAAAAGGCAAATCTGCACTCTGGAAACACTGCACATCACAATGTGCTGTAGGACTGGGATGAGGCATTTCCACAGCAACCTTGCTCTTCCCAATGAAGCTCTTACCTCTTTATTTTTTGGACCTTTAACTGTGTCTCTTCGACTTTCTTCGAGTGCCATCTGTAATCTGAGGTCATCCCCCCGTCTGAGGCGTTCTTCCTGCAGAGGGACAACTTAAACTTGAAGCTGATTTTTTAAAAAGTAATAGATTATATAATTGTGTTGTGGTTGTTGAGAATATAACAGCAAAGCACACAGCAATTCAGCAATTTCAACATGTACAAGTCAGTGACACTGATTAAGTACTGCAAGTAATGCAACCAGTCTGACCCTCCTTTTTTGAATTATTCCTCCATTAACATAATCTCACTCCCCTCAAAGCTTCCAAAGAGACCTTTCAAATTGCTATTGTCAATAAGATCCCATCTAATTCTTTAGAAAAGCACAATTCTCAAAGCAGATATCATTTTTTTTTAAATCCGTTTTATTGGCACTTCATCCACATGTCAATAATCCAATATCAAGAAGAGTTGTACAACTGTCATCATATTCAATTCTAAAACATTTTCTTCTTCCTTGTGGTCACTGTTATTCATGTTTTTTTTTCCTAATTGTGACAAGCATATACAGGACAGAACATTCTCCAATTCCACAACTTCTACATGTGTAATTCATTGTCGATTATACTCTTCATGTTGTGCAGCCATTATTGATATCCTTTTCCAAATTATTCTACCACCACTGACATAAAACTCAATGCCCCTTATGTAAAAACGTTTTCCCTATGGTAACCATTGGTCAAATATGTTTTCTATTTTTTCCCATGGTTTTCTTTTCTTTTTTCTTTTTTTATCATTTTATTGGGGGCTCGTACAACACTTCTCACAATCCATAAATACATCCATTGTGTCAAGCACATTTGTACATTTGTTGCCATCATCATTCTCAAAACATATGCTTTCCACTTGAGCCCTTGGTATCAGCTCACTGTTTCCCCTCCCTCCCTGCGCCCCCTCACATATTGTATACTTCTATAGTTAAAACAATTTTAAAATGAGTTGCATAATCAATCCGTTCTAGTGCTTTCTTCCCCCTCCCACATTCACTGTTTGCTCCCCAAATCACCTCACCTTCCATAACTCCCAACCCCCCGACTCCTATAAATCATTGCATCAGTTATATCTCTATGCATCTACTCCTTCTGTGCTTCACAAACTTGGAAACCCAACTGTGATAGGTAGGTTTGTTGTGCCAACATGGCCAATGAACACATGAAAGATTAATTGAAGGGCGGAGAGATAAATGGCTCGGCGAGCCTCGCCTCTCTTTGTCTTGCTCTTTGATCATCCGACCAGTGTGCGACTGCCTTTCTTGTTCTGTGCCTCCCTTTGCAAGCTACACTACCTGTGGGACACCTAACACATGGACTGTGTCGCTATAACTTGAGGTTCCTTCAAGACCTGCTTTATCATGCTCCTGGAATGTACATCTCTTGTGCAGGGGAATGTCGGACCCTGTCTTCTGGCTGACTGTTGGTGACCTGCCTTGCTATTTGCTGCCTGGGGCCGGAGAGCCTGAATTGCTCTACAGAGGACAATCCAGTGGCCCTCAAGACTTGGAAGGGTGCCAGTGTACTAGCTGTCTCATGGAAGTGAGTTTCACTGAGCCATTTGTACTGCTTTACAGATTAACTGTTTATTTCTTATGTTATCTATCTATATATAAATATATATAATTATTAGTGTGTCCTGGTTTTGTTTCTCTAGAGAACCCTGTTTAACACACCAACAGAAACAATAAAAACAAAAATAAAGTGGTATGGATTGAATAACAATGATGCAAAGATAAAAATACAAATAATAGTAAGAAAGAAAAGAGCACCTTCTGTAACAAGAGTTTTAAGAGCCCCAAATAAAATGATCTAAAAAAAACAAACCCCAAAACAAAAGCACATTCAATAATTAGGAAGCCAGGGAACAAATTCTTGTCATGGAATAAGCAAGAAATACTTGAGCCTAAAACAAATTCAGGTTGGGTCAAGAGGGAGGTCAACTGACCAAGTATCAAGTTTGATCAAGTTGACAATGCTCTTTGTCTGATAGTAAAGCTGTTGAAGGCCCTTGCCTGTGGCTAGAGAGGAAGGGCAGATAATCTTTACTAATTAAATTAACTATTGTTTGGTCTTTAAAAGACTTCAGGGGTTATTTTTAGTTTATAAATTTAGAATTATCTCAGGGCAGTAGTTTCAAGGATTCATTCAGCCCCTCCACAGCCATCCCTAATCAATTTTGTAGCAACCAGAATGGATTCCCTGAGGACACTGGACATGCAGAACTAGTGGTTATGCAGGGGTGGTCAGGCAGGAGCGCTTCCCTATGGAGCCTAACATAGGAGAAATACCTTACCATCCATAGCCCGTTGTTTTCACCTACTCTTAGTAATGGATCTTCTGCTGCTGGACGATCTATGAGTTCTGGCCAATGACCTTGCCCCAGATACTGTATGCTGCAGGCAAAAGACTTCTCAACTGTGTGGGTGGATAGGTGCTGGAAGTGGGAATAGGTTCAGAGGACCTTACCATAGTAGTAACATTCATAGAACTTCCTGGCTATGGACACACTTGGTGCTAATGAGCACAATGTTCCAGATAAAGGCTTTGCCACATTGGTTATCTGTATGCAGCCATTAGTACCATACCAGGTTGGAGTTCTGGGTATAGGTCTAGTCATACTCATCATACAAACATAGTTTCTTGTTGTTGTGTATATGCTGGTGCTGTATGAAGTGGGAGCTGTAGCTGAAGGCCTTGTTGCCCTGGTTCCAATCATAGGGCTTCTTGCTTATGTGCATGTGCTAGTGCTTCAATAGTAACGGGTTATGCCTGAAGCGCTTGTCAGTCACACTATGGTGTGGCATCCCACCCTACACACTTGTGGTCCCCTAAGTCCATGCTCAGGTTAAAGAAGCTACCCAGCTCAGCCTACTTGAGACTACTGCCACTTGGGCTCTTATTCCTGCAGGAGTTGTCCCCTGAATGGCCTCTGGTCCCAAAGCTGCCCTGACACCTGACTCACCAAAGGGCCTTCAGCAGGTTCTAAAGCACCCGGTGTCCTCTTCTACCTTTACCCCAGGAATGTCTGCCTGGAGAGATGGTGGTGCCTTCTCTACTTCTTGGACATCTTGGTGATCTAGGGCCTCCCCTACTGGTGGCTGAGAAAACAACTCAGGACCAAGAGTCATGCTGATGATCATGGAAGTGAAGTAGGGCTTTATGGTGGTGAAGGGATTCACAAGGTGTCCCTGGTGATGAAAGACTGGCAGGGGGCAGGGCAGAAGAGGACTCCTATGACTCCTGAATGTGTGCATACTTGGAACTCCCAGCCCCACTATCTGAACAGAAGTGAGAGTCTCAGGGTGGAAATACTTTCAGCTCATAGGGCTAAAGACTGTTGCTCTAAGCCCAGGTTTGACCCCTGCCACTGCAAAAAGCCTAAAATAGAGGGAGCAACAAACACTCCTTCACTCCCTCTTCCCAGCTGGGAGCCCTATCTATGCCCATGGAGCATGGCTACAAAAAGTACCAGCTGCCTGGGCTCAGGCCTGCAGCTCTACACAAGCCATGTGACTTCAGATATTATGTGACTTGGATGTTGTGCCAATACAACATTATACATATATGGTGTTCGAACAACGGCCAAAGTATACAATGTCCTATTTCACAGAACATATGGTGGATGTTAAGTGATGTAGACCTGTATGTATGTACGTATGTGTGTATGTATGTGTGTGTGTGATGTGTGTGTCACAGTTTTCATTTCCATTTTTAACAGATAGACAGCTTTTGATTAATTACATTAATCAGCTATGCAACCCTTAGCTTCAATTTTCTTTAAATCAGTATTAAAAGAAATCCAGTGCTCTGAAAGCAGCCACTCCTTTTATCCTCCCTCCCACCTGGGTAGCCATGAGTAAATGTTGACCTCTCAATATGTGGCTGTTCTTCTCTTTTGTATAAGTGAAGTTTGAAGCTGATTTTAATGTAATAATACTGCTACACACAAAAAAAGCAACTCTTGCCAGCAATAGGAAATATAACACTATATTCTGAATGATCTCAAAGGAATAACTGAAGAACAACTTATGAAACAATATTACTTTGCAGTAGGGAATATTTGTGTTCCCCCCCCCCCCAAAAAAAAAAACACACCTCACTTGGGAGCTTCTTTCCTCTCTGGGTCACATTAGATTTCAACACCCTTTTTTTTTTTTTTATCAACACCATTTTTAACAGGCACGAGGCACATTGGAACAGGCACAACCACTTAGGGAAAGAACATTAAACATTTTTTTTTTCACATTAAAAAAGGCTTCATTGTTCTTTCTAATGATAAAATCAATATGCTTTCTAATGAAACACAAAATCAGACAGCCCAGAAAGAAGAAGTATAAGAATAAACATTCCACCTCCTACTGCACAGGATTCCAGAAAGCTCTGATTTACAACAAATTATTTACACATGTTCCTATTCATAAATGTTGTATTGAAAAGAACACATAAATATGATTGCTTGACTGAAAGGGATTGGATCACCTGTGTGGGCCCTGCCTCTCCAAGAGAGTCCTCTCCTATGCATCTGCATGCACAGACTAGAGGACTCTGTAACTTTCCTGCCGGGGACAGAGAGGCCATCACTGAAGCTGTGTCCTATGGTTGCATTTTAGCTTATTTCCCAGCATAAATAGACAAGCAATGTGGGAAAAATGTTTGCCATAATCCCCTAATAATATTCTTTGGACATCAGTTTCCAAATGAGAGCAGATGCAATATTCATCTTGATACTGCATATCTTTTTCATCAAGTTCTGTGAACATAAACCTGACAATGGCAGCTAGCATGAAGGATGGTTTCAGAAAGGAATTTTAATTTCTGCTGTACCCCCATTTAAAAGTCATCTATGTTTATTAAAGAAGAATTGGGAAGTAAAAAAAAACAGTTAAGATTACATGTACTTCCATCATCAGAATACTAGCACTTTTTAAAAATCCCTTTTCTTCTTTCTTGCTAGCTTTTTTTCTGGGTATCTGAGCATTTGGGGATTTCCTGTTATATCTCTGCAAATTGCCCTCCTAGGGTAAACCCACCAAACCCCTTGCCTTGTAGGACATCCCTCTTTCCTACACATCTGCCCAAGGTATTCCAAACCTCAAAAAGGATATGCACACTATGCACAAAGCAGCCAGAATGCTGGCCATGGTGGCACAAGGGTTTCTGGGAAGTCCTTTTGACTGATTTGTTCCCTGGACAGTAACTTCCCCAAAAACGTTTCCTAAATGTCTTGGCTCCCTTCCTGAGGGAGGGCAGTGGATGGCAACCAATAGTAAAATGAAGTCTCAGCTTGGCACCACATCCAAAACGTCTTAAAGACAAGGGGTTATGTTGTGGTCCTCCCTGTAATCCACGCCTCTGTGCCCAAGGGCCAATACCACAGGAGGCACTGACCTGCTCAGCCACTTCTCTGCTCATGGCCAGTGCCAGCTGCAACTGTAACTCCTCTTCTCCGCTGGTCTGGGGCCGAGCTTGCTCCAACTCAGAAGTCACCCGTGGGGAAGTGGCTGTGGGAGCAACAAGGCAAAATCACGCAGTGCAAGACAGTGTCAACACAAACCTCATCAAATAACATCCCACGGCCATTGCAAATTAATACGGCTGTCAACATATAGCAAAAAAGGAAAAGGTTCGCTTTGGAGGGTAACGCAGAAGTAAGATGTGGTTATATCACAACATAAACCACACAGTGCTGGCAGCAAGACAGTTGCCTTCCAGCAACAGTCTTCAGGGGATCACAACATGTATCTCCACAACACATTTGCACTGTTTCAATGATATGCGCTAATTGTTTTAAAAGACTGCAAAGATCCCGTATATACTTGAGTATAAACTGACCTGAATATCAGCCAAGGCGCCTAAAATTACCACAAAAACTGCATTTAAAAA